ATTAATAAAGAAGAAATAAAAAAAATAAAATTCAAAATGTTTCTCTAGTTTTTCCACCATTTTGACTGACAGGGGGATCACATGTTCGCAAGAGTATCAGTTAATTTTAACAGAAATCTCTAGTAGCGGTTATTTAACCAGTGATTTCTCCCATAAGTGGCTTGCCGAGATTTTTGTATTGAATTCAAATATATCACAGTATATACATATATACATACATATGTAAATATATCTCACTCTTACTACCCTGTAGTTGCGCTGGTGTCAAGCGATTACCAGAGCGCGAATTCTACTAGCGATTTCATGCATTACCGCTAGTTAGTCTTTTCGCTAATGATATGTAATGCAACGAGGCATCGAATCTGAAAAAAACCCACCCCTAAAAAACGAATATATACTAAAGTTTCGTACACATGATCGCACAGACATTTTAATATACACATACATAGATTTAATTGTACGTCACCGTTTGTTTATATTGTTTTTATAAATACATACCCAGTGAAACAAACAAGCCACAGCAAGTGTTTTTTACAAATTCATTGTAAACGGTAATGGGAATTGCCCGAATTAACATACAACATGCACAGCTGTACAGGGAAACTTTTAGACATTTTGCTGTCCAAGTACTCGCTTGTGTGGTCAGCTTTTCTAATTCGTTTTCTTTAAAGTAAAACCAAATCAGCTTTCTTTGTCATAAAAACGTATTATATATCGTTGGTTGTTCCAGAAAAGTCTATTAACATTATTCAAACAAACTGCAAAAAAATTTTAAATTAAATTTACGGATTTAGTAAAAGTTTCAGCGAACATTTTTACTTTAAACATCAAAACAACAAAATATTATGAGAGCGGTTTTCTTTTGCTTCGCTAGGTGTATGTACATACACAACATATATATGTATGTATGTATATACATATGTACATTGTATGTATTTATAATTAGAAATGCGATTGCACAGAACTCCTATAAGCAGCTCATTATATCCCTGAACAGGGTATATTAAGTTTGTAACGAAGTTTGTACCACCCAGAAGGAAGCATATACATATAATATATTTAAAAGATCAGTATGGTGAGCTGAGTCGATTTAGCTCTGTCCGTCTGTCTATATATATATACACGAATTAGTCCCTCAGTTTTTAAAAGTCGTTTTGAAATTTTGCAAACGTCATTTTCTCTTCATGAAGCTGCTCATTTGTCGAAACTGCCGATGTCGGACCACTGTAACATATAGCTGACATACAAACTGTACGATCGGAATTAACTTTTTGCATAGAAAACTGTCATATTTGACAACGTATCTTCACAAAACTGTGCACATGTTATTTTCTTATATAATAATGTAATATAGGAAGAAATTGTTCAGATCGGCTTACTATAGTATATATACAACTATTATACAAACTGAACGATCGGAGGCAAATGCTTGCATTGGACACTTTTCCGTTGGGTGAAAACCACTGGCCGACTACGTCTTTAGATTTACTTAAACACATTAAACTCATAGTTACTAAAAGAAATGCACCTGTGAAGGATAAATTAGCTTCGGTGCAGTCGAAGTTAACGTTTTTTCTTGTTTTAGTTCGAAAGAGGAACACTTGCGACTTAAATAGATAATTTTTGGCGTTTCCCATTCCGTTAACACGTGGATTTTCTGCATTCCTTTTGATATTTCATATACTTATACATATCTATATGTATAGAAATTCTATACTATATGTACTTATAATTAATGTGAATGAAAAGACGTGTTGGATTGACTTCTTTCTGTTTACAAGTTTACTAAAACTTCTCGTTCCTCAAGGGAGGTTGGTATTGCAAATGGGCGTAATCGAACCACTATCCCGGCCACAAAATCGTCCAAATAAAAATGCAACCCCATTTCTTGGTAAAAAGATATTTTAATATAAAATGTGAAAATGGGCGAAACCGAACTACAACCTTAGGCGCGGTTCTCATATATAAAAGTTTTGAATTCCACATGAATATTCTTACAAAATAATCAAGCAAGAAGAGTTACGGCAATAAAACCGTTAGCACATTGTTTCTCTTAAGAATGTCATCTCACATTCGAAAATAGTCAAAATAGGACTGTGGCTTGACTTGAAAAAGACCCCAGACACCAAACATGTGGGACTCAGCGCTGATTTCACCCACTCCCGAATTTAATCGCTTCTCTGCCTTTTGATGGAGTTTTCTTTCATTTCATACCCCTTTTCCACTTTACAATTTTGAAGGCTCTTCAATATAAATTTTCGTAAGTATATCTTTAAAAGTTATGAAATTATATAATATTCGGCTGCACCCGATCTGGCCTTTGCTTGTTATATACTCGTATGTAAATAACATATAAGAAAAATGTATAAAACAGATTTAATGAGTAGTTCCAACAACAAAGAGTATCTTTATTCTGGATCAGTGTAAAAACTTTTGTGTTGGTTTAGCGAATAGTAATTTTAAAACTCCTGTTTAAAATCTTCTGTTAATACAGAAAATAGGAGAAAACTCAAGTTTCGCTTTACATACATATGTTTGTACATACAAGTTATATGTAAGTGTATCTGAACGAGAGCATTTAATGAGTAAATTAGAATGAATTTCAAGGTGTGGATAACTTTGTGTACATTTSTTTATGTTCGTTTGTATGTGTATAAGTACACAAATAATGCACTTACATACATACATTCACACACAAGTTGAGTGGAGTGGAGTCGTCTCATCAATGACGTACCATTGGCGATGGCACGAGCGGAGTCATCTATTTTTGGAAACCTCTTATTTAAATCTGAGCATCTGCTCAAACCCCATACTTCACAGTTACAAAAATAGGCGGCAGCTACTGAAGTCTTCGTTGTGTCAGTCCAACACAGGAAATACGGCGAAAAAATGCATACATGTACATATGTATATATACACATATATCCCTTCGATAAACACTCGCATCCGTTCATGTACCAAATTTATCCAGATGTAGTCAAGACAATCAGTTATTATAGTGCAATCATGAATATAAGACGCATAACGGAATCGTATTGTTCTCACTCTCGGTAAATTCATAAAATATTTGTTTTAATAGGAGCATTATAATTATTGCTTTTGTGTTAATTTGAGTATATATACGAGAATGTAAATATGTAAATAGGTATTTACCAAATAAATATTTATAGCGAAACATCACAACGTTGCTTAAATCATTCCGCTTGTGATTACGCACTCAGCGATCCAGTTTTAATAGTTATTACTTTAACAGCGGTAGTTGGTTCATTTTGTTTACTAAGCGGATTAATTATTTTGTGTGCAGTTTCCAAAACACTGCACGATCAAACATCGGAGGCAATTCTTCTATTGGGTAAGTTCCCAGCGTACTAAAAACCCGAAACTCTAATTTTTTATTGCAGGTATCGGTTTTTTCATCTACGCGATTGCTTTTGTTACTTGGAAAATAACAAATGCCAGAAGAATCGCTCATATAATCGAAGCGCTTAATAAAGAAACCACATCAGCCCTTGTGTAAAAACGTGTGATCGAGACAGATTTGCTTCAAAAGCATAAGCCTAGACGAAATAGTGAATGTTTATAAACGAAATTGCAGTACAATAATATTTATTTTTATAGAATTTAATAAAAGTGACACGTATTTGTATGTATGTTCATTAAATATTACTGCTGAAGTTCTACTAGAACGAGTTTGAATTGCCATGTTATTTCGCATGTTTAGATCTAATGTCAAAACTATACAAAGTAATTTGATCAGTTGTTGATTTTGTCGGAACTATTGCTTTCGCCATTAATCAAATTTCCAATGCACAAAATTAATAAAAAGGAGTAAATAAAATCAGGAGTTTTAAAATGTGTAATTGAGAATTCATTCCAGCACTCTCTTCGATGGATATGTGATCCATAAAGCAATTCAACTTCAGATCATCCAAATTCTCTTTTGGTATTACGAACTACATCTAATTTCACTCAAAGTTTCTTAATAAATGAAAACAACTGAACATTTTTAAACGAAAAATCAAAACAACTCAATTCCGTTATTGCCTACGAAAGGGTGAATAATTATTAAAATTGACAAAACCACTTATACACGATGATTGTTTCTGATTCATGAGTCAGTTTCGTTAAAGTAAGAAAGGATATTATTCCTTGATGAATGAGAAATGAAGGAAATTCCCAAAACGTACCTCGTCCTTTGACAATAAATTAATCTGAATTTGAGTTGATATCGAAAATACCAAACTGAGTTATAAACCGTAATAAAAGCTTTAAAGAGTTTTCTTTTCTCACAAAAATATTACATTTATTCTTTCCTATGTTCGGGCTATTAAATTTGAGTGAGATCTTTTCTCAATATATTTTTCAGATTCGTTTATTTTTTTTTAACATATTGCCGTCTAACCAGAATCCTCAATACGTAAGGGTAGGAGTTGCACAGCGGATTTTTACTCATCGTTTTTGAGTTATTTTTGTAACCAAGTTTTTCTCCTAATTATTGTGAATCATTCAATTACCAAGGGTTTGTTTGTTATTTTGTCATGTAAAAAATAAAACATTTTAAGAAGGTTTAATAGACCATTTATATAATGTTGTCATACACATATGTAGATAATTAGGCAACATTTGCATAGAGAAAAGCAAACGCTACTGCTTGATATAATCTTCTTCAAAGTGTTCGTGAGTGAAACTCAAACCAGCAATTGCATACATACTTGTGTGTATGTGAGTTCGGAAATCCATATTATTTTATTTTTACATTTACAGATGTATGTACATATATATCCCATATCCCAAAATCCACAACATCCAGGAAATTAAACGCCATCAGAAGGGGTGTGCCCCAATTTCCGACTTAAAATTGCAATATTCGCAACCTACTAAACATGTAACAAAATGTATGTAGTAAGTATGTATATATACAGCATATACATACATAGATGGAGTTTTTGTAATCGATTGAGAATAAATTAAATTTGCTTAAGCTTATCCTTTAGTTTTTAAGAAATCGATCTGGAACTTTGCATGCGTCCGCACCGTCGATATCGGACCACAACATCGAGTTCTTATATGAAAAAATCCTTTAATTAAACAACTATCTTCACATAATTGGCATATTTAAACTGATCGATTAAGATCAAGATAAACATCTTTTTATATATTTTTTGATATTTAATAATTTAAGATGTTATTTGAAATAAATTACGCTATAAAGTGCAAAATAAGTAGTTTGGGTCAATATTTGAGAAGGGTTTATGAAGCATTTGCTTACATTTATTTCTGATAAGTTGACATCTATATTTTCTAACATGTAACAGAATTAATTCTCCCTAATTAAACTCCATATAAAAAGAGAGAACCCACAATCTGCGCCAACTACCGTGGGATAAGCCTCCTCAATATCACATATAAGGTTCTATCGAGCGTATTGTGTGAAAGATTAAAGCCCACCGTCAACAAACTGATTGGACCCAATCAGTGCTGCTTTAGACCTGGCAAATCAACAACTGACAAGATATTCAGCGTGCACCAAATCTTTTAAAAGACCCGTGAAAGGAGAATCGACACACACCATCTCTTCGTCGATTTCAAAGCTGCTTTCGACAGCACGAAAAGGAGCTGCCTTTATGCCGCGATGTCTGAATTAGGTATCTCCGCAAAACTAATGCATCTGTGTAAACTGAGGTTGAGCAACATCAAAAGCTCCGTTACGTTCGGGAAGGACCTCTCCGAGCCGTTCGATACCAAACGAGGTTTCAGACAAGGCGACTCCCTATCGTGCGACTTCTTCAACTGCTGCTGGAGAAAATAATTCAATGATATTGATAGCATCGGCATCCCCGCCGTTAGTTCTGCTTTCTCTAGACTGGACAAGGAAGCAAAGCGAATAGGTCTGGCAGTGAACGAAGGCAAGACGAAATATCTCCTGTCAGCAAACAAACAGTCGTCGCACTCCTGACTACTCTCTCACGTCACTGTTGACAGTCATAACTTTAAAGTCGGAGGTAATTTCGTCTATCTTGGAACTAGCGTAAACACTACCAACAATGTCACCATAGAAATCCAACGCAGGATAACTCTTGCCAACAAGTGATACTTCGGTCTCAGTAGGCAATTGAGAACCAAAGTCCTCTCTCGACGAACAAAAACCAAACTCTATAAGTCTCTCATAATTCCCGTCCTGCTATATAATGCAGAGGCTTGGACGACGACAACAACTGATGAGTCGACGTTGCGAGTTTTCAAGAGAAAAGTTCTGCGAAAGATTTACTGACCTTTGCGCGTTGGCCACGACGAATATCGCATTCGATGGAACAATGAGCTGTATGAGATATATGACGACATTGACATAGTTTAGCGAATTAAAAGACAGCGGCTACGCTGGCTAGGTCATGTTGTCCGAATGGACGAAAACACTCCAACTCTGAAAGGATTCGACGCTGTACCCTCCGGGTTAAGGAGAGGAAGAGGAAGACCTCATTTCCTGGAAGGACCAGGTGGAGAAGGACTTGGCTTCGCTTATATCCAATATCCAATTGGCGAAACGTAGCGAAAAGAAGAAAGGACTAGCGCGCTGTTGTTAATTCGGCTATAATCGCGTAAGCGGTGTCTACGCCAGTAACGAAGAAGAAGAACAGAATTAATTTTTTCCGTGGAAAGATATCAAATATACAAATATCGAAGCCATTTAGTTCTTAGAACTGCATATAATATTTAAAAATCAAAGTTATCACCCTAAATAAAAAAAAATCCTTGAGGTACTTGGTCATTACGTACGAAATTTTTAACTGGTTAACAACTAAAATATGTGAACACAAACAAGCAAGTGTTTTTGATCGCTCCGGGGAAACCGTTTTGAGTCAATTGAAGACATCAAGTGTGAATCGCTATGGGAATTGAATGCTAATAAAGACATATATTTCGACGAATGGGTTTTCACGCGAAATTTAAATTGAAAAGTCTTACTATATTTTGATCACTATAACTTTTATATCAGGGTAACAAGTTAAATTTTTATGAAATCTATGTAAAATTATTAAATTTTTCAAAATCTAAACTATAAAAGAATTGAAACTTTTACAGAGTAATTTCGCTTGAAAATAATGGTGACAAGTCATCGGATCAGAAATCAATAAATTTTCGTTAAATATAGTACACACAATGGCACATTAACTCAATTCTGTACATGTACATACATACATAACTATTGTATATATACATATGTACGTATACATATGAAATCAGTTGGAAGAATTGAAGCAGAATGCCAAAATGTTAAAACAACGTTGACGTAAAGCGCCTGCAAAAAGTCGCAGAAACGAAAAATTATTTGTTTATCATTACTACGTGACCGCTTTCTAAATTGTGTTAGCAATCCCAAAGTTACGGATGCTTTCTGTGAAGTTGTGTGTGTTCGAAAGCAGTGTGCACATTCTCAGCAGAGGCAAATACAAATTGAAACCACGGCTTGCCGCAAATGTATATGTAAGTATAGGTAATTGTATATTGATTGCGGATTTCTCTTTTCACTGGATTAATAAGTAACACTGTCATTCACATTTGTTTCATTATAGTATGCGCTTAAATATTAATATGTACATATATACATACATACATATGTATGTACATCTATTTTTATACAAAGTGTATTCATCAAAGTGAAATAAGTATTTACATATATGGCATTAAATTTTTCTTTACGCCCATTTGATATGTACAAAATAGATATGTATGTATATTATATTTTCATGAAAAATTTCTTAGTTCTCAATATCATTTTTTTATTCTCTTCTACGTTATTATTTATCATATATGTATGTACATATAATATAAGTATATACATATATACATACCTACATATATGTATCTAAAGCAGGTTGTCACTAGAACAACGCGATTTCAGTAATATTTCACTGTGTTCAGTTTGATAAAACTTCCAAGATAGGTTAGTTTCAATATCTTGGACTCATATAACGGCAATATCGTTTTCGCCTTTATTTGCAAATAATTGCGCGTTCGGATCTTCTACAATACACATGTATGTATGTATGTACATAAAGTCATTCATAAGTTATACTTCAGTAAATAAACATATCTGACACGTTCTACAAGTACTCACATTATCTTAGATACATACTTACATACATACAACCGCCGGAATTCGCAATATAAAAGCCAGAAGCGTTGAATTTCAATTAGTTCCAATTATCAAATTTTCAAGACAAATCACCAAAACGACGTTAACGAAAAATGCGACATTTTGTTCGAATAGACGTTCAAGTGTTGAGACCGCGGGCTTTGTTGCTTCTGATTGTTATATGCGCAATCGTAGACTGGCTGATCCTGCTTCGGTCAGTTGAAGCAGTCGCGGTCTCTGATTCGCATCTGGACTTAAACGTGTTTTATTTTATCCATGGACCAGCTAATTACGATCCGCGCAGAGATTTTTCTAGATAATATTTAAGTACATTATGTATTTACGTATGTACATCTGTATATCAGTACTCAATATAGAAAAAAATTTGTGTGTGTGAATGTCTGATTTGAATTAATATTGAAAAATGTAACGAACTCTATATAATAAAATTACCACATCTAAATAAAAATTAATGTATGTTAAGGCAAAACCTAACTAGAGATGGTGAATTGAAAAACAAAATGAAATCAGATCGGCATTCGATTCACGGCATTTATTTATATACATATTATATGTATAGATGTATGTATGTTTGTATATGAGACGACAGAAATAACTGTGATAGACCTTTCTCTCGCATGAAACTTAATGCTTAGCATGCGAAAAATAATTTCACATCCTATAAAATCGATGTCTCCGATTCTGGGCGGTTGTTTATAGTGAGTTATGGAAAATTAATTATCTTCCAGTAGAATAACATAGATTAGGGAACTGCTTGAATTCATAGAAGTCTACACTGACATAAATTTCTACAAATGCCATAACTGAATTGCTTAAAAATTTAGCTTCTTCGTTCTCTTGCTAACCACCGTCAGAGGGCGCTCCAACTAGAGAACTTAAAGAAAAAGAACGTATATTTATAGCAGAGAACGTTTATAATAGAGAAGGTTCATGCAGAGAATGTAAAGTCAGAGAACTTAAAACATAGAGAAGGTGCAGGTTCGATGTCGAACATTTTATAAGATTGTGATAGGGAATTCACCTCACAACCACAGAATTCACGATGTGAAATGTTAACATTTTTAACAGTTCTCCACATACTCAAACAGAGAATATGAAGAGAAATAAATATATGT